AGAGAGAGAAACTTTTTCCATCTTCTTTACCGTTTCAGCCTTTGGCTGAGGAGAAATTGAATGAATCAAGGGATTTAAAAGAAAGAAGGAAAATGCTTCATTCTTCGATGATTTTCATGAGCTAGAGTTCAGTTTTCTAGAGTAAAATTTCTCAAAAGCAGACTGTTCATAGTACATCACCTGGCCTCTCTCTAAGCTCCTGATAAACAGTTCACGTAACATCCTGTTATATATGATTGACTCAAAAATCTGTTCTCCCATCCTTACAATGAGAATCATATTAGTAAGAGCTACCCTATAATTTGCTGTTCAAGTTCAAATGGATAAGAAAATAGGGCTTGGTCCCTAGAAGAGACTCAATAAGTGGGCCTGCTGCTGCCACTACGGGAAATGGAAACCACTGTCACCCCCTGCCATCATCGAAGTGTCCCCTGGTGATGAATCAATCACTGAGCAAGGCCTGTTCTCTTGAGTTTTCTCTCCCTTGCTTGTCATGACCATATTCCCTGACTCATCCCAGTGTTTGCAAAAAGGCAGGGCAAGATCTGGTCTAAGTTCACAAAGCCATTCTAGATAAGCAACAACAATCTATTCCCATGCCCTGGGCCCTGCCCACTCGACCAGAGGCTTTCAAACCTTTTTTACTGTGGCTCTCAATAAGAAAATACATATTACACAAACACACACACATTTTGGGTGCACAAGGCACTCTAAGACTTGCTGTTTTACTTCTTTTATGTTTAAAGTTCTAGGAGTAGAGAAACTTGCATTTGCTAACAAATCTCCCCTGCAGCCTCCCCACCCTCAAATCCTCGTTCAGTTCTGAATCGTTTGTTTTTACTCTCTCAGGAGTCGTTTCAGTGAGGTTGCATTGCAATCAGTGACTTTTCTTTTTGTCTTTGGCAACAGCTCCCAAGCTATTCCTTGAATATTAATTAGTCAGACAGTTTGGGATTTAAGTGGAATGAAGAGGGGGGCAAAGGGTCATTCACATTCCAGTGCTATCGACCAGCCAGTTTAATAAGTTTCTCAGTCTCTAACCCTGAATTCTCCCAGGGTTCTAAGTGTGATGAGTGTGAGACAGATGAAAATAAAAAAGAAGTAAATGTATATGTGAAAGGAAGACTTATTTGAGCTTAAAGTATTCCAAAGTTCACCTGTCTCAGTTCTTCATCTTTTCCCCTCTTTTCTTCAAACGTGTTCTTCCATTCCAATACTAAACTTTTTCCGAGCCCATGCTGAGGGCTTTGATGGCTATCTTGTTTATCCTCACAACAACCCAATGAGATAGGTACTATTACACTGTTGTCTCCATTTGACACATAAGAAAACCGGGGATGGAGAGATTGTATCATTTGCCCAAGGTCCTGAGCCTGGACGTGTCAGAGCCAAAATGTAAAGCCAGCTTTGTCCTCAACTCTTGAAGTCTGCAGTAGCTCATCTCCCTGGCCCTTTGATGTTTCTTTGAGTTTGCCAAGAAATGCTTCCTTTGAAAGCACACATGTACCATTTTAAATATTCTTTCTACACACATGTAGCAGGTGACAGGAAGAATAAAAGTGGGCTCACCCCCTCTCTGGGCGAGGGGAACCTTGCCTGCTCTTTCTACCTTTCTTCTCCCCCGTAGCTTAGTGCAAACAGATTTTTGAATATGGATGGAATTCACTTCTAGCTAACTCTATAATGTAGGATTTCCCAAACGTGCTGAACAAAGGTGTTGATGAAAGCTGTAAGAAAAGTAAATGCTGCAAGGCCATAGAGGATCAGAAGATAATAAACTCTGAGGTTTTAAATATTGTGTACTGTAGAACTTCTTTAATACTTTAATGAACTCCAAGGAGCAGAAGGGGTAGGTATGAGCATGTATAATTTCTAAGCATCTAAGCACAGAAAACTTCTATTCCAAGAAACATCCCCCAGCACTACTACAAGAGGGATGGGATCACCACTTAGGCATTTGCTGCAAATATGTTAGAGGTGTTTAAAGAGTATCATCAGAACCATGAGAGAGGTTTTTTAAAAATATACATGTGGGCGGTACCTGTGGCTCAGGGAGTAGGACGCTGGCCCCATATACTGAGGGTGGCAGGTTCATGCCCTGGCCCTGGCCAAACTGCAACAAAAGAAAAAAAAAAATCTCATTCTAAAAATATACCTGCATCCTTCCTTATCACTACCACTAAATTATGACTCACCAGAACTGAATAGAGGCCTCATCAGAAAGTGCTCCCCAAGATGACCTTGAGATGAACCCAGCACCACCTCCTTGAAAACCTATACAACAAAGGGAAGGGAGATCTCAGGTACTTCAAAATCCCACGAATCATAATAGGAACAAAACTACTGCATCTTGCTGTGGCCACTGCTTTTAGACCTTTCGACCACCTATAAGGTGGGCATTACTATCCCCATTTTACAGATGAAAACTCTGAGGTACAGAAAAGGCAAATCTCACTGTCTTAGAGATTTTGAACACCTACACATATGGTAGGTTTGGAAGTTTAATGTCTTAAAATTTAAGTATTGGTGGCTTTTGTTAGTTTGTTCTCCATCTGAATCACTATTATCTGTGAGACCTTCACCTTGTCAAAAGGTTTTTACTAACCACAAAGATTTCTAGAAACTTCCTAGACAAACATATACCCACATTCATGTTCACTATTTAAGATAATGAGAGATTACTATACTCTGTTAATTCGAAGTCAGTTAGATGTACTTTGTCTCAGGTCCCCTGCATCAACATTTCTCAGGGTGTAATCTTGTCCTAGGAGAGTTCTTGGAAAACATGGTCTTCAGTCAAGTAAGACTGGAAAGCTTGTTTCCTGTGGAAGCTTCTTGAAGCTTCCAATGTTCATTAACATATTAATGTCTCTTAGAAGCTTGGAGCCAATAGACTAGTTCAACTTTGAGCTCTCCAAACTTATTTATGCTCAGAATTCTTTTTTCCACACAAATATTATTAATATTCTTATGAAACTTTGGGGTAAACCTGGATTGTGGTACAGACATAGGCATAACAGGTAAACAAAGAAGTTGATAATCCTCAAGGCTTAGGGAGTTTTTCTTCCCTTTCCTATGCAAGTTCAAATGAAATTATAAATATGAACTTCCCTTAAGAAGGGAAGACCCTTCTTAAGAAAGGGTCTTCCTCCCATGACTTGAATTATACTCAAGTTTGCCAAAGACTGGGTTTCAAATTTCTTTTTTTTCTCAAAATTTAACTTGGACCAAGTCAACTTTATTTTTAGTTAATTGAAGCTTTTACCATAACGGGCCAGCTTTCGATTTATAAAATTATTGACTTATTTTTTTAAATACTCTCATTTCCCATTGCTAGGAAAACAGGAGAAAAGGAAAGAATTCAAAATTAGGATTATGCTAAAAGTCTACCCAACTGGAAAGAGGACTTGATTAGAGAATTAAATTGTACAGTTTTCTGTTTGGTAACATTCTGATACCTGAAACAACTTTTTTAAAAGGGTTTTAACCTGGGGATTTAACACCTGAAAAGGAGTACGTGCCATTCATGTTGATAAATGGAACAGTTACCAAAGCCAGAGTCAGAAATGAGTTCTCCAATGAGTAATTCAAATCAAACATGGTCCTGGTTATCTATTATCCAAATCAGTGACCCCTAAGTCCTACTGAAGCAGGTGTCAGATCACTTCCCAGTGCCAGCTGGAAACCTGCTACGCCAAGTGTCATCTGTGGACTCACTGCTATAATCAGCATCACCTGACAGCTTAGCAGAAATGCCAAGTCTCAGGCCCCAATCCAGGCAGAACCAGAATCTGCATTTTAACAAGATCCTCAGTGATTCATGTGCCCATGAAAGTTTGAAAAACTTGACCAGCCAGCCACAGTGGCTCACGCCTATAATCCTAGCCCTCTGGGAGGCCAAGGTGGACGGACTGCTTGAGCTCAGAAGTTCGAGACCAGCCTGAGCAAGTGTGAGACCCCATCTCTACTAAAACTAGAAAAATCAGCTAAGTGTAGTAGGTACCTATAGTACAAGCTACTTGGGAGGCTGAGGCAGGTGA